CTATCGAAGGCTTTTTAGTTTATGGATCATAATGGAACATTTGCATGAGCCATTATGTTGTAGCATTGCTTCACGGTCACATTGCTCATACGCTAGACCTTTACTTGATGCATCACCATGTCATCAACCAAAAAATATTTTCAGACATTGGTAAAGTTTGCTCTTTTTTCTGATTTTGCGCTTTTAATTTCATTGGACATAATTTTTTGGAATTTCCAGTCTTCATCAAAACGGAAGTAAGGGTTCCAGACTCGATTCAAATATGTCTCAGAACATTCATCGGGTTCCTGTTGGACGATACCAAACCAATCTGCATCCTTGTTTCAACACACCTTGCAGCTTGTCCAAAAATTTGTCAAGTAAATGCACTCGCAGTGCTGGAGTCAAAGAAACAGCTGACTCAGAAGAACCCTGCCCTCAGTACTGCTTCATAATTTTACTTATTTGAAAATTCGAGATTTCACCGTGTTTCTATTTTCAGAAGGTGTAAAAACGACCGCCGCAGAATGAAAATAAAGCGAAAGCAGTTCCGAATATCAGTGCTCAAGAAAGCCGCATCAGGGACACCACGAAGATCATGTGAAAGAGATCATCGGAGAACCCCGGATGCTAAACCTAGGTGTCGCTCTACTTCAAGTGAACGGAGTCGCACGGAAAAGCAGCGTCGCAGACAAAACCAAGATGGATCCGAAAAACCCTGTGAGGAAAAGAAGGAAGAGAAGAAATGTTCCAGTACAACTGTGGATCGAGGTAAGTATGGAAATTTGTACATATCTTCATAACTTCAGCTCCGTCGTTGGTGCGACATCTATGACGAAAGGAATTATCTATCTTTAGATACTCAAGTATGATTGGGCTAGGTTACGCTCTTCGAATATAGCAGTAGCCTCCTTGAAAATTTTGATACAGTAGAGTATAATATTACACTACAGTATTTCCTCAGTTGAGAGTGCAAAGACTATTAAAATATATTATAGTATTCTGGTTTTAATTCCCAGATGTCGCTGGCGCATTAATTTTTGAATGTGCACTACAGATGAAAGAACATACTGTATTAGGACATGGTCTTTATAGCATACTGCATATGACGCTTATTTGTGTTTCTCTAAATCAAAACTTCCTTTTTTCCTTTCAGAGAAATGTCCCACTGCTTCAGCAGAGGAGAAACAAAATCTGGAGTCACACCTGACAAGTGCCATGATGTCAGCAAGCAGTGTTCTTGAGAGCTTGAAGCAAATTCTTCCAACATTGGGATTCTTTTCCAGCAAATCTGACACTTTAACCACAGCAAAGCACTCTCTGCAACATGAGCACACTTCACTATGTGTCTTACCCAATCACTTGCCATCAAACCCTTCAGATTTGTACTGTGACCCCAAAGTGTATCCCACCAGGAATGTGGAGCCTCATACTTGTCCAGATATTTTTGATTCTAGTGGGATCTTGGAGTGTGTTGGTGGTCATGGAGGAAACTCAACTTACTGCTGTCAATTCCATGGAAGACTTTGACTCTAAAGCAATGCACTCTTATTTCTTCTCTCAATTATTTCTGTTTTGACTTCCCTCCTGTGATGATGTTTGCTTAGAACTTGAGTCATACTGCTCATATATAGCAAATGGCCATAATTTCAAAAGAAACCTCATTCCT